AATCATGTTTGGACCTTTTTATCTTCAAAAGTAGCACCCTTTAAAGAACCAAGAACCAAGTCATAAATTATTAAGTAAAATAGATAACAAAATTAAATAAATATATAGGGGTAAGAGGTGCAATGATCTTCTTAATAAAAATATATGAATTCATCAGGGTTGGTAGCCACAAACAAATGCACACTCAATAACCTGGAATTAGAGCGGAAACTAAAAGAATCATAACATTTAACTCCGATTGTACAAAACCTTGCCTGACATTTAGTCAATGGAAAACATCACTCTAAATTTGATTGGTTTGGCATATTCAAGGTACACATTCTGAAAAACTACTGTTATTTAAAAGAAGTTCCACACTACAAATTCTAGCCTCAAGAGAATTTCCAGTAGCTCAATACAAGTCTCACATTAATCAGCTTGTCATATAAGCAAACACATAGAATGCATATTTTTCTAATCATAAAATATATGAGTAATATACTGTAAGCGGACGTTTCTAAATTTCTAATCCCAAACCCAAATCACTAATACGTTCATAGAAAACATATATTCCTTTAAACAATGAAAGAAGCATTGTAATAGAGTCGATGAGAAGGCAATAATGATACCTTTTTTCTCCTCTCGAATAGTAATCCTGCGGATTGTCAGTGTCCCGGTTCCTTCAGCTCCTTGATAATTCAGATCAGATAAGGTATCAATTCTGCCACTTCTCTTCCCAGGACTCACATCAGAAGCAATCTTTAATTTGGAGGATCGGGGATTAAAAGCGCCGGAAGGTTGAGACGCAACAAAGGTGCCGAGTAAAAGACCTAGACTAAAGAGTGCGAAGAAGTAAGACGCGGATAACGTACCCACATGAGAGAGAGAAATTGTGGAAGGGGTGTACCGTACCGTGTATGAGATCCAGGACCGCTTCTTTTCTCATGTCTTTCCGATCAGGGTTCTTGAAATTTGTTTAGTGGAGTGGAGCGAGTTCAGGGTTAGGGATGAGTGGATGTAGTTTGAGATTTGGGGGATCAAAATTTTAACTAAATAATTGAAGGAAATACGCGGAAACGAACGCATACCTGAAGGCCTGTAAGTATTTGCCTGATAATGTGTAAAAATGTTCAAAGAGACGTATTTTTAATCAAGATTATTACATTTTGATTATTTTTTATTTTTTTTATTTTAACATTTTTAAGTTATATACAGAGCACCTATTTTGAAGACTTTGCATTGTTTTTACATTTTTATTTCTATTTTGAAATTTATATCAATTTTTATAAAACCTCACAATTTTCTTAATTTTTCCTGCAAAAATAACTTGCAATAACACTTAATGATTCTATATATTTATATAAAGTTGATGGTGACCTATAAAATTATTTTGAGTCTCACAAGTCATAAGCAGTTTCGAGCTAGATATTATTGCTACCCAAGTTATATATTGTTCATTAAATCTGACATTATGTTTTTAATGATTAATGCTAATTAATTTCCTTTGTCAAATGATATCTTCAATTACGAGCATGTAAGATTTGGTTGCATCAATTTACACGAAGCTCATGTCTTTAGAGGCACCAATAAACTATCTAATGCTAAAAGTGTCTTTTAGAGGCATCCCTATAAAGGTTGCTCCAAATAATGCCTTTTAGGGGCAACTATTCTTTTGCAACAAGATTTTAGAGGCAATCCTAAAAAAGTTGCTACAAATAATACCTTTTAGAGACAAGAAAACTCCGGTTGCCTCAAATGTTTTGAGAGCTTATAAGATTAGAGGCAACCAGTACTTATATGATGCTAAAAAGCTCTTTTAGAGGCAAGTTGCTTCAAAGTGCTGTCTCTATAAACGTTTTTTCTTGTAGTGTTAAAGCAAAATAATTCATTAGTAATGAGCAAACCTCGCTTTTGTGTTTCATTAAATATACCCAAACACCTCGTGAGTGATCATCAACTATAGTAAGAAAATAGCGTGACTTGCACGAACGATTGGCGCTATACGGTCCCCAAACATCACAGTGAATTAAATCAAATAAATGAGATGCTCTACTGTTACTTATCGGAAAAACGGAACGAGTTTGCTTTGCCCGATGACAAACATCACATGGCTTATTAAATAAATTGCTAGAGCTACCGTTAACTTGAGGCAAAAAATTCAAAACTTGCAATGACGGATGTCCCAAACGTGCATGCCAAAGCTCTCCAACATCCAAATGAGTTGCATTATGTATACGTACTCGTTCCCCCATTGCCAGGTAGAAAAGTCCACCGGACTGCTCACCCACACCAATCCTGATCCTCGAGACTTGGTCCTGTATAACACAATGAGAGTGAGTGAATTGAATACTTAATCTCTTATCCTTGAGCAAAGTAGAAACGGATAAAAGGTTGCACGTAAATTCCGGAACAAATAAGACATTATTTATTGTAAGATGTTCATTCAACTTAATGCTACCGATCTTAGTAGCCTTGATAAAAGACCCGTCGGGCAGCCCAATTTCCGTGGGTATGATATCCACGAGAGAATCAAACAACTGAGCACTACCACAAACATGGTGTGAGGCACCAGTGTCTATAATCCATAATGTTTCTGCCTTACCATGCAAACGGATATCACCGAGATCAGCGGCAATTTCTCCCGCATGTGCAGCATTGGCCTTCGGTTGCTGATTAGAGGAGTTGTTCTGAAGGTTGACTGAACCTGCATTGCTTCCGGATTGTCTAGACTGTCCCTGAGCTTTACCTCCGTTACGTCGCCGTTCTAGCCATCCATCGGGATATCCATGCTTGATGAAGCACTTTTCTTCAGTGTGTCCTGTTTTAGAACAAAAAGTACAAATAATAGCATTGTTATTGTTAACAAATCGGGTACCCCCCCCTGAACCATGACTGCCAGGAGTATTGCTTCGAACAGCGAAGCTCATGGGTGTGGTATCTTCTCCTTGGGTCCCTGTAATTGTTCTGACTTCTTCTTCTTGAATAAGTCGTGAGTACACCATATTGAGTGACGGCAAAGGATCAATTCCCAGCAGACTTGATCTCACATTTGCATAAAAGGGCTCGAGTCCCATTAGGAATTCTCTTACTTGATCTGCTTCACGCCTCTGCCGGAGTTTAGTCGTCAAATCACACTTGCAGCCAGTGCAATTACAGGTCGAAAGAGTGTCAAAATCGTTCAAATCATCCCACAATTTCTTCAGACGCCCATAATAGCTCATAATATTTCTCCCGTCTTCTGTTTACAATCTGATAAATCAGATTTAATCTGATAAATCTTTACTCCGTTACCGACTGAAAATCTTTCTTTTATTTCGTTCCACAAATCGCGAGCAATATCGCGATAAGAGATGGTCGTTCTAAGCGAAGCATCAATGGTGTTGAACATCCACGCTACGATCATGGAATTCACAGTCCACCAATCTTCGATTTCGGGGGCACTATCATCCGGTTGTTTGAGACTTCCATCGATGAACACATGTTTGCGTTTAGCGCGAAGAGAAACCCGGAAACCCCTTGCCCATTCTTCATAATTATAACCCTTCAAGACAACGTGGGTTATAATCAAACCCGGGTGATCACTCGGACTAAGAGAATAAATCTGACTTTGGGAAGAAACCGTTCCACCAGTCATGATAATCGCCGGATAGCGTAGGGATCGGCTATGGCGGCTCTGATACCATATAGGAGAAATACGAAGTATACTGATATTGAGATTGAAAAGTGTTCTGTCTATTACAAAGGCAAAGTGCCCAGTTATATACAACCAGTGGTTCCTAATTTGTCTCCAATAAAATAGCCAAGTATTAACTAGTAATATACACTTGCTAAATATACAAAGCTACAGTCCCTCTACAAGAATAGAAGAGTAAATATATTTATAGAAAATATCTCAGTACTTATTAATACGCATTTCATCCTAATTTTTCTCTTGCTGCGTTTTACATTCCAATTCTAATTAAAGTTTGTGTTGTAATTAAAGTTTTAATTAAAGTTTCATCCAATTTTTTCTCTTGCTGCGTTTTAATTAAAGTTTGTTTTTTTGACAGGTTTAATTTAAGTTTGTGTTGTACAGACTTGGATGTTATTTAAATTTCATTCACATGAATTGAGTTCTAGTACAATTCTAATTGCATCATTCGGTATTTTACATTAAATATTTTAATATAGAAGTTTTAATATAATTGCTTTTAACGAATAAGGTTGTGACATGTCAGCATTTTAAAATTGAGCTTTACTATTAAAACAATAGATTCTACAGACAAATGGGACTGAGAAATGGTCTACAAATGTTCACATTATAGTCGAGCTAGTTGTGCTCAAAAGTTGTAAAAAGCTAACAAATTTTAATAGGTATGAGCCGTATGACTGTGTAACAATGAAGGAGTGCCTCTCATGATTTTTCCCTAATACAAGTTCTCCAGCTTTAATTTAAACAGTATGACTTTTCAAATCCCATTTGAACTATTCCCAAATAAAATATGGCCGGTAGCAACTCCGGGGAAGAATGATATTAGGATGAAGCTTTCACAAGAATGGATGTGCAAGTTAACAAACCCCATTGCATCCATTGTGTGAAGAAAGCTACCTGAAGCAAGCTGCGTATGTTTTAGTCATATACATGTCTTTCTCCCATAAATATCCTGATCACATATAAATAAATTTCCTGATTCAAATATGACTTCCTAATTATATTAAATAAATGAGATAATTATCCATGAGTAAAGGACTATGAAGTTGAAGCATATTTCCACAACTACTCCTTACATGCATGTGAAAGTTTCATAGTATATACATGTTTCTTTTAGAGAGAAAAGCATCTCGTTATGATAATTTTAAGGTAAAACTGTCAATTTGATCCTCGTACTATCACAAAAAAGTCAATTAGGTCCTCGTACTTTAAAAAAAACAATCACATCCCCGAACTTTGTAGAAACGTTCAATTGAGTCCATTTGTAGATTACTTGTCACGCCAGCAGGTCACCCGCTGACATGGCGCGCGCACGGCGGTCCACATGGGCACCACATCATCATCAAAGGGATTGTTGGAGTTCCACGTGTGCGCCACGTCAGCGGGTGGCATGCTGACATGGCAAGTAACCCGTAAATGGACTCAATTGAACGTTTTTACAAAGTTCGGGGATTTGATTGATTTTTTTAAAAATATAAGAACCTAATTGATTTTTCCATAATAGTACGAGAACCAAATTGACAATTTTCCCTAATTTTAACTTATTAGTACAATCTCTAATTCATTATAAGTCTAGACTCTACACACAGTTCTCTAGCAAGCTGTTTGAGATCACTATGACCATGTAATGGCCACAGGACTAGCCACAACTTGTATCCCACTAGACCACTCAACTCTCCCAAACAGACTTTGGCCTGCAACCATCTTCAGAGCATTGAACGTGACCGTGTATGATTTCTTCTCACCCATCTTAGTAAAGTTCAGAGTTTGTGGCTCCACCAAGATTTCAACTGAATTTGGGGCAGAAACATAGACTTCGTATGTATCGGGTTCTCCAACATTAGTGAGCGTTCGTGTGTATTTCATAGAAGATTTCTTATCTGAAAACACTACAGCGAAGGAAGGGTAATTGAGGTCTGTGACACTGTATTTTTTGCTTGCATCACAGCTGAAGTTTTTTCTCGTTAGTGCGTAAATTTGGGATGAAGTGTAGTTCAAGGTGCATATGAAGTTTAGGTAACCGTTTGTGTCTATGTTGTAAACAAGCCCCGGGTTCAATGCGGACATGGGATTCACATGACCCGACCCGTAGTCGTATGGCGTGGCTTCCTTCCCCGTCGCGGCATCTATAAGTGGGGTGCCTGACATGTAGGTTATGTACGATGTGGTCATCAGAGCAGACCGGATTGCAGCAGGGCTCCAATCCGGGTGCTCCGCTTTAAGCAAAGCTGCTATGCCACTCACGTGCGGACACGACATGGATGTCCCTGATATTATGTTGAATTCGACACGTCTGAGGTCTTCTGGTAAACCAGTTGGGCTGGTGGCCCCACTCCATCCCGCAAGAATGTTGAACCCTGGTGCAATCACATCAGGTTTCAGTATCTCTGGCGTGATACTGTTGGGGCCGCGAGAACTGAAAGCTGTAAGTATAGGTGATGGTTTAACGCCGACTTTTGTCCCTGTGAAGGAAATTGTTGCCGTTGGATTAGGATCGTGGAACAAATATGACTTGATGGCCTCCCCAGACTTTTTTGTCACGTGCGTTGCCGGAAGTAAATGGGGATCTGCCACCAACTCTTCTCCCTGTTCGGCCGCATTGGCTAACACCATCCCGGCCCCTCCAGCAGCTTTTACAACATAGCCCTTATCAACTCTGCCATTTTTCCCCCGATCGCAAAGTACAATTTTTCCCTTCAAGTTGCTCGAATCCAGACTTCCTCTGACACACAAATTCCCATCCGTGGCATTGCTCACGTTCCCCGCGTAGACGAGTGGAAGCCTTTTGGCGGGAAATGGAACAGCTTTGTTATTGTAAAGAGAAACACCTGGAAGTTTAGTTCCGTTACCGAGGGTTACCGGAGCCGGGAAATCACGGTCCAGAGTCCCGGCACCGACGGTGATGATCCACGGTGCCATGTTGGACACGGTGTATAGACTAGGACCATCGTTCCCGGCGGAGCAAACCACCACAATTCCCTTCTCCACGGCGGCGAATGCTCCGATGGCAGTGACATCATCATAGTAGTCAACAGATCCAGTGCCGAGAGATAAGGAAAGAATATCCACGCCGTCTTCGATGGCACTGTCCATGGCCGCCAAAACATCAGAACTATAACAAGTGTCGTTCCAGCAGCCTTTATATGCCGCGACTCTTGCGTTCTTGGCCATGCCCTGAGCAGCTCCGGCCGCGTAGCCGAACAGGCCGGCGTGCTGAACCGGCGATCCTCCGGCGGTGGAGATTGTGTGGGTCCCATGGCCTTCATCGTCCCGGGGAGATTTGCTCGCCAGAGTCTCGTTGACCGGCCCCTGACTCGCCTCGTACCCTTTGGAAAAGAACCTCGCACCTATCAGTTTCCGGTTGCAATTCGATGCGGTGAAATTGGTTCCCGTCTCGCACGTTCCTTTCCACTTGCTTGGGATCGGACCCAGTCCTCGGTCGTCGAAGCTCTTAATCTCCGGCCAGACTCCGGTGTCGACTACTCCGATGACAACGTCACTTTCAGCAGCGGATCCGGGTAAAAGGTAATCAACCAGTCCCAGAAACGACGGCGTTCTGGTGGTGTGGAGCTGGTACTTCCTCTCCGGCTGAACAGAGACGACGCCGGGCAGAGTTTCGAGAAACAGAGCTTCTTGCTGTGTGAGCTTGGCGGAGAATCCGTGCGCCGCCGTTGTGTAGACATAGATCAGCTCCGCCGATTCAGACACCGATTTGAGAGCGGAGTCATACCAGTGAGCTTGATGGAGGAATTCGGAGGGCATTTCCGGTTCCGCCATATGAACGATAAATGACTGTTTTCCCGCCAATGAGGCTTGAAGAAGTTTTGATAACATAGTAACTATTAGAGTCATCTCTACAAATTTAAGCATTTTGTTTCTATGTCAGAGCTTCTTTTTTTACTACATGACAATGGTAGATTCGTTCATTATATAGCTTACAAACTCTAATTTTTAGAGTATTTTTTTATATATTTTGATAACTTTAATTCTTTAATTCTTGCAATTGTGATTTTTGCACTATTCACAAACCTTAATTTGACCACGATTATCTACTAATATACATAATCAAATTATTTCGTATAAAATGTTATTAAATTCCTATCAATGAGCTTTTCCAAAATATCAACTTTTTATAATGTTTACTAATACATAATTAAATATAATTATAGTCAAAGTTGTGTATTGAAAAACGTGAAAGTCAAACTGTTGCAAGAATTAAAGAACGGTGAATTATACTTCCTCCGTCCCGGAAAATTGTTCCCGCATTGACTTGGAACGGAGTTTAAGAAAGTGGGAATAAAGTGGAAATGTATGGTTGTGGTTGAGTAAGAAAAAGGTAAATGAATTGTAGCCACAAAAAACTTTCCAAAAGGGGAAAGTGGAACAATTTTTTGGGACGGCCCAAAAAGGAAACCGGGAACAATTTTCCGGGACGGATCTAGGGAGTATTACTTATAAAGTTTAATAGACAAAAATATGACATTTTGAAGTTTTACAAAAAAGTGACATAACACTTCTCTGCCCCCATAGAGATTGATCGGATTGGCCGCTTCTAGGAATGATCGATCACAGGTCTCCTCCATCCCTCATTTATCATCGACCTCATGACCGCCAACCTACACCTCTGGCGGCCTCCATCCGCCTCTGCTTCTCTGCTCCGCGTCGCTTGTCATCCTGTCCCTCCCGTGCGCCGATTTCTGATCCTTCTTTTCTGTGCGGTTAATGGGGAGGTGGATGTTGTCGTCTTCATCCATTGAGGCTAGGTCACCGCAGGTACCGGAGCTCGTTAGAGTGCAGAGTTACTGACGTCATTGGAGCTCAAGGAGTGTCGTCGTTGCTGCTCTGAGATTCGATGGCGCCAATGTACCTATTTTCGAAGGTCGTCGGTCTGCGTCACATATGCCCTCTCCCCTAAAACTCAATCACTGCAAAGATCTAAGCCCAAAATTGTTGGATTGAAACTTTCGGCCACATCCACCGTCGTGGCTAGGGTTGCAACGTCGGGGATGGGGCTGGGACGCTGCCCACGCGCTAGAGAGGTTCCAGTGACGATTTGGGCAATATTTACGGTTACAGGGGGACTGGTGTTGGTGGTCGGAGTTGAAGCTTGGGAGGCGATTGAGGGCAGTTGCAGGGGAAGAGGATGGGGTTTTCCCGGTGCTGGGGCGTTGGGATGGGGATGGCAGTGGAAGTGCGGTGTATGGGGAGACGCTTTGATGGCAGTGGTGATCGGTGGTGGCCGGAGTATTTGTGCGTTACTGCGGAGATGTCACTGCGGTGGTGTTATTGTGGTCTGCTGACTCCCGCTGAGGTGGCCAGTGGGGTAGTTGTCACAATGGCCAGAGATTGGGGCAGAGATGTCATTGTGGAGATGTCACTATGGCCAGCAGCGGTAGTGGCAGCACTGACAAAGGTGATGACGGCGGCATTGACACGAGCGATTATGACAGTTACATAAAAATTGGGCAGTGAAATGCATATTTGTGAGTCACTTCATATTTTTTCAATATATATAACCATCTTGGTCACTTTTTTGTCCAAAAATAATGTGGTCTCTTTTTTGAAAATTTAGCTTTACAATTTCCTCATTTCCACTAATAATTCCAAGAAATTATTTAGACTTGTGATCTTTTTTAGTAGATTCCTATTGGTGTTTAGTAAGGGCCCGTTTGGTATGATGTAAAGTAAACACTTTGCATGCGAAGTGTGGGGAAGTAAACATTTTACACCGTTTGTTTTAATTATTTGATGTAAACTGTAGGACACTTTTTTTTAAAACATTTTACACTGTACTATGCAAAATACTTTACGTGGGGGAGGGTAGTAAACTACTTTACATTCATTAATATGATTATAAAATATAATACTCTGTATTTCCGTAACAATTAAATAAGGAGAAAACTCCTTCACGATTAAAGAATAGTGAGTGGCAGCAAAAGGAAAACTCGGAAGCAATAAACAGATTTCCATCCTATTTAGCATATCACCAAATCAATACGTCTGCCCTATTGAGAATATAACTACAAGATTGATTTCTGCACTTTCGGATTTCCATTTACTTCATGATAGTTTCAAGATTGATTACAACAATAATCTTGTAGCAAGCAGTCAAGCACGATAAAATTACTGTTATGTCTCAACAAGCAAGATGGAATGTGTCATACAGATAGATAGAACGGTAGAAATTAATCTCTGATTATGCTTCGGAAATCCAAGTTGCTAGAATGCTCCCTTGCATTATTGCTGAAGTTAATTTCTTACTCGAATATGATGTGCTTCACACGTACGGATTTGCCAAATATTTTACTAAAATTATTTTCTAAGCAAACATAGTAAAGACTTTGCGTGTAATTTAAAAATAGAATAAACATGTAGCCAAACGATGTATTTTTATTTTACACGTAAACTAATTACTGCCCCTACACTTTACATGCAATCATTTTGCAGGTAAAGTTTTAATGTGCGAAGTATCAAACGAGCCCTAAGAGAGGAATTAGGTGTGAGATATATGCATTTATTAAATAATTATGAAAATGAATGAAGAAGATACGAACATATATTTTTAGAGAAGACTCTTTCTATTCATATTTGTAAAAATTTAGAAATGTCAAGTATTTATGTGAAAAAACTATGTATAAGCGAATATTATGTTATTGAAAATCATAAAGACCTGGAATATGAAAGAAAAAATGACATGTATATTACTTATAGAGTTAATTAAATCATGTTGTGATTTTATTTCATACTCCGTATTATAATTTTTTTATCAATAGTTAATTAGTATTAATTACGTAGATAAATTTATGTGCAATATTATTAACTAAATGTATATCAGTATATGAATGGCATAATCATCTGATCGTACATTCGTACATGTTTAAAAATAAACTAAATTAGTGATAATTTGTCAATATATGGAGCGAGATATTTAAAAAAAAAATTACTAAAATCAACTTTGCGGTGCCGTTTGGATTAGTGTTGAAAAATTACTCCATTCCAAAAACTTTGATAAATTTTCCTTATTTAGTTTTTTTTATGGAATATCTAGTTGTCCCCAAAAAGTTTATCAATTCTATTTAAAGTAATAAATACTCCCTCCGTCCCATTTTGATTGTCCTACTTTCCTTTTTGGGTTGTCCCAAAATGAATGTCTTGTTTCCTTTTTTAGCATGAAATATGTGGTTCTTATTAATTCACTTTATTCTACTCAAATCTCAACCACAACTTTTACTTTTCAACCACTTTATTAATAATCGTGCCAAATTGAAAGTGGACAACCATTATGGGACGGAGGGAGTATATGATTAGGTTTTTTCCTCTCATCTGTAGAATCTTAACCATACAATTTTTAATTTTATTACTCCACGTGTTAATAAAATTTTGTCATGTTTTATAGGATAAAAGTGTATATAAATGATCGATTTTCATGAATAACATCTAGTCGTTGGGACCCCAAACCCATCAATAATTGTCATGATTAAAAGTTATTTATCTTTTTATCATCCAATAAATTTATGCACCTTATGAATTAACATATGCAATATGCATATCTTTATCAGTTCAATAAGGGAAAAGGGTCAAATAGACGTTTACTATTTTCAATTCATCACTTAAGTTTTTCTACTTAAGAAATTAAAGCATCATATAAGTAGGTTTACTTTTTAAATACAAACAATCAAGTCATTTTGATATACTACGGAGTATAAGAGGTTATTCTAAAATAATACTCTTTCTGTCACATTAAGATTGTCCTTTTTTTTCTTTTCGATAAGTCCCACTAAGATTGGCTCATACCAAATTTGGTAAAATTTGTGTGACTCTAAATCATTCTTACTTTATTCTTACTTTATCAATTCAATATCAACAATATAAACTCATTTTTCTTAATAACCGTGCCACATCCTCATGTCCCAATAATTAGGAGTATTGATAAATCTTATATAAATTCATTTAATTTTGAAAAAATAATGTAATAATAATACAAAAATAGAATAAATGCAAAAATAGATAAATAATTTTAAAACGTTAAAATAGAAAAATAAAAAAAATCAGAAAACTAAAAAAAATAAAGTAAAACTGTAAAAATAGAAAATACAAAATGTAAAAACCTTTTAAATAGATTTAGAATACTACGTGTAAAAATCATTTCGAAATTTCAAAAATATTGACTTTGACATTATGAATTTTCCCACAATTTTAATCTATATTTCTTAGTTTTCAAACAATTTTGAGCTAGAGGTTTTTAATATGAAAAACGTGCTATTTCAGGTCAAAACTTGAATAAGTGGCCAAAAGGATTAAATTTTTAAAGTAAGTGTTACTTATATTATACGTCTTTTAGTACAAGAACTTACGTGATGGTTTGAAAATAGTAGAAAGACTTATTTAACTCTTTTCTTGTTCAATAATGATGATTGTAATACGAATAAACTTTCTAGTATGATTTAGTATGCTCTGATTTGGTCTGACCTTGTTTGCAGATGTTTGGTGTATTTATATTTTACTACATAGTATTATTTTAGTCTGATATGGTTTAAATTATTTATGACTAAAACATTCTAAATTCATTTGTTTACCTCATCTTTTTGTCATGGCACAGTGTTACACAATATCAATATGTACACTAGCTGTAAAATGTAATGGCCAATGGACGGATTTTCAAGAGTATAAAATTATAAATGTAGAAAAAAAATCTAAAATATGATTAAACATATTTTCTTCGAAAATAGGGTAGTTATTTAATTTAGTCCTATTAAAAGTATAAAATATTTTTTTGAAAAAACGGATTAAATAGGTGTTAACGTGGGATTAAAACAATGACACTATCCATGAAGAATCTAATAGTAGAAATATGCATAATTTATGAGAGTAAATGAGTACATGTTCACATAAT